GCAGGGCCTTGATGTTGTCCCATGGGACGATGGTGTTGGCCAGGGTAGAGACGAGCGAGGCCACAGCCGCGCGGAGGCGGCCGCTCTTGGCACCGTATCGGAGGAGGAAGGTCTGCCAGAAGTTCGCATCGTCACCGGTCGGTCCAGCGCTCCCACTGAGGCTCCGTGCCGCTCGCTCCACTAACCCAACATGTTCGCTGCAGAAAGGCACAATGATACACCTGTAGTACTGTGTGTGTGTGTGTGTGTGTGTGTGTGTAACGGTCAAAGGTGGCGGTCAGCGAGAGGGCGTTCCGTTCGCTGACCTCCCTGCTGAGGTGACGCCGGCCATCGCTGCATGCCTCAGCAGCTATGCCGACTTGTGTGCCTTCCGCCGCATCGACAAGAGCCGCCATGGCGCCCTCATGCCCACCGTCCTGCTGCCTATTCTGCAGCGTCTGCTCCCTATTGTTATGGCGTCACTCGGCCTCGGTGTGTTGGTGGAGGTGCCCATCCCACAGCTCACTCAGGGGGTGGCCGTCACGGTGGCCCTGACCAGGGCCCTCATAGAAGAGCTCAGCCGCCGGCTGTTCATGCTCGAGAGGGGCGGCAGCTGGGCCAGATGGAAACCAGTGCTGGAGATGCTGTATTTGCTGAGAGGCAAGAGGCCGCTGGTGCTGGGGGATGACACCTTCGGCGTCTTCGGCAGCCGGGCGGCCTTCATGAGTGAGAGGGAGGCGGTCCGCCAGTGGAAGATACTCATCTGGGGGATCACTGTCACTCAGAGAGGCCAACAAAGGGCCCTGATGGACGGCGATAAAATCCTTTCCTACTCGTTTTGCTATCAGCTCTCCGCGCTCCTCACCTCTGCCAGCCCGCTCTTCCGTCATGATGCATTCGATGCCGCGGACTCGCCCACAGAGCTGGACGGGACGTGCCCCAACTGCATAACCATGGTGGCCTTCGTCGTGTTCCGTTGGCTTGCGCGCAGCAACCACATCGATTGCATCGAATCCTGGTACGCCATGCACCTCCGCTTCTTTCCCCCGTCACCAGGGTGGCGGCAGAGGCGTGCTCTTGCGTCTGCCGCGTCTCGGCGTAGGCGTGTGGGTCGGCTGCTGGCGGTCTCTCCCAGCGATGCGGCACAGTGGGGGGCGGGGGCGGCCGTATTCGACGAAAAGCGGGAGGACGGACGGCATTATCGGCTGGTGGTGTTTGGGAGTGAGGCGATGGGCGAGGGGCACATGGCAGTCATCGAGATGCATCGTGGGCGGGATTGGTGGGATTGCTCTGTTAGTATCTATACAACCGAGTCGGCCCCGCGCCACTGCACGCACACCGCTGTAATGAGAGTGCTTGGGGATCAGCTGGGCGCCAGGCTGTTACGGCGGGGTGGATAGGAAGATTATGGTAGGCTTAAGGGCCTTCGGCACATTGTCGATGTGTTCTTGAAGCAGGAGGGTGCGAGGGAGATGGACAGACAGACAGGCAGGCAGAGGTTTTTTCTTCTCTGTGTCTGCCTGAGTGTGACGTGCACTGTGCCTAGTGTGATGCACCGTGTGACTCGCATGCTCATCACGTGTGCCTTGCCTAGCTACTCTACGTATGAGTGAGCACTTGTTTTTCGTGTGTTGATTCCCTGCATCCATCCATCCATGAGTGTTGTTGATGAGTGATGTCCGTGTGTGGGGGTGGGGGTTGCGAATGGATGAAGACTGGTCAGTCATATGTCGGACTGAATGGGGGAATGTCTTCATTTACACACGACGTCATCCATTCACGCACAGCTCAGCATACGTCAGCTCAGCTGCCCTGTTTCTTCCTGGCGAGGTATCTCTCCTTAGCACTCATCACACGCTGCCCCTGCTCCTCAGTCGACACAGCCGCCTCAGGCGCTGCTGGGTCCTTCTCAAGCACACGTTTCCTGCACACCCCACACAACACAACACACCACACCACACACACATGCAATAACAGACTAGGCACAAAGGCACGTGCTGAGTGCTGAGGTGCGTGTACCTACCTGCCCCTGCCTCGCCCATCGGCCGTGCTGTCGGCTGGGTGGTAGTTTGCAAGTTTTTTGAGGTCGACGTGGTCCATTCGCTTGAGGAGCTCGTCCACCCACTCCCTGTCGATGACCGACACGCACCGCAAGATGGCCGCACCAGCACTCTGACCCGACAACCTGATCCACACAAAGACAGACACACACATACACATACACACAGAGGTGCGTTGTGTGTGTCCGCCCATCCATCCATCCATCCATTCAGTCACGCAGTTGCTCACTCGCTGTAAATGAGCCACTGTGGGGGCGGGTCCATATCCTCCAGCGCGCTGTCCCTCTCGGGCCTTGCCAGCGTCGATTCGCCCACACTCACCCAGGCATCCACCGTCTCAGACCGCCTCGCCGTGTGCATGAACAGTCCCGCACACAGCGCCCGACGCACCCGCTCGCTTGTCGGCACTCGACGCACCTCAACCAGCCGGCTGTCGGCATCATCGGCCGGTTTGCGTGGAATGTGGATCTTGTCGAGCTGCTCTCTAAGCTGCCGCCGGATGTCCATGGCCATGCGCAGGGAGCGGTGGCTGATGAAGTGGGACTTGCACCAGTCGGGGCGGCGGTCGGTGCGGTTGTCGAGCCACTCGGAGAATACCGTCAGCAGGGAGAGGTGGTCGCCTGTGGCGTGATGGAACCTGTGTGCAGTTATTACAGACGGACAAACACATGCGGCCGGTCTGTTTGTCTCTCTTTCCTCTGTGTGCGGTTTGGGTGGGTGAGCACTCACTGTTTGTGTGCCCTTGAGGCCTTGTTGACGGCGGCCTCGTTCTGCTTGGAGGGTCTCACCCACACGTTTTCTGACGAGAGGATGGCCACCAGCGTGAGCATCTCGTCCGTCACGTCCAGCCACGTAGACGCCAACACACACCTAGCCAGACCAACAACACGATCGACCCTCGGCGACACACATCCATCCATCCATCCACCCACACTCACCGTGCATACGTCGGCTCCAGAGGCACCTCGACCATAAACTGCCCCTCAGTGGTCACCGCCCCCTCCGCGTCGATGGCCTTGAGCAAGTACAGCAGCCTGTAGGCCAGCAGCAGGGCGGTGGTCGACGGCGGCTCCAGGAAGTCGAAGTGCAGGACGTCGTTGATGCCCATGCATTTTAGCTGCAGCACCACCGCCGACAGGTTGACCCGCTGGATCTCGGGCGTCGTCACCGCCTGGAAACTGATGACCACACAATGAGGAGTCTGTGTCGCTGTCTGTCTGTCTGTGTGGGTGGGTGGGTGGGGGGAGGTGGCTACTGCTTCCAGTTGTCGATGCTGTAGAGGCGGAAGCACTTGCCTGCGCGTGTGTGTTGGGCGGAGGAGAGCAGAGGGAAGTGTGCGTCGTGTGTTGGTTGGCTTGGTTGGCCGTGCTTACTTACCGGCTTTGGTCCTGCCCGCCCTGCCCGTGCGCTGCTCGGCCTGCACCTTGGACACCTGCATCGTCTGGATCAAATCCATCCCTGCCCACCAACACACACACGCACACACAACATGCCACTGCGTCGTTTGTGAGCCCACTCGCATCTCTCTGCCTGCCTTAAGCCGACCTGTCTTGGCGTTGTAGGATTTCTGTCAGGTGAGGGAGGGAGGGAGGGAGGGAGGGAGAATGCAGCGAGGCAGCGCAATAAGCCGCTCGCATTGGCACTGGATTCATGTGCTTGCTTGCCTGTTTGACGTATCCCGAGTCGATGACGAACCCGACGTTGTCCTGACACATTTGACCAACACACACACATGAGTACAAGACGGTCGCTGCCTTCGTGCGGTCCGCTGCCAAACCTACCACAGTCAGCGAGGTTTCGGCGATGTTGGTGGCGAAGACGATCTTGCGGCAGTCCTGACGCAACACACGCAGACATCCAGCCATCCATCCACGAGCAGACACACTGGTGAGTGAGTTACTCACCAGCGGGACCTCCTCAAAGACGAGATGCTGGTCCTCCGACGCAAGGGCGCCGTACAGCGGCACTATCAACACGTCGCCCACCTCCCTCCCTGCACACACACACAGAGATTGGATTGCAGCCGAGTTTGTGGTGTGGGTGGTGGGTGTTCGGGGCGGCGGTGGGGGGCTGACCGCTTTCCATGAGGGCCTGTAGCTTGTCGTATGCCATGGTGCAGCCCCGCTCACACTCCTCCATCCCCGTCACGAAGATCAGAATGTGTGCGCAGGGGTGGTCGTTCTCCTCCATGTGCAGACGCAAAGCGGCGTTGACACACGCCTCAACGCGGGCAGTGCCCCCTGCGCACAACACACGCACACATTGTGCTGGTCTGTGTTGTGTGTATCTTTGGTGGTGGTGGTGGTGGTGGTGCGGCGTTCCTTTTGTGAGAGGTGAGTAGTGGATGTCGACGGGGTAGCATCTGCCGGGGATGTTGAGCACGGGAGCGTTCCCGAAGTACTTGCTGAACAGCTCCGTGTTCAGCGTCGCACTGACCACACACACACACTTGCTTGAAGGTCCCGTGTTGGTTTGTGTCATGTGTATGTGCCGACCTGGTGACTAGCACTCGTAGGTTGCCTGCCCTGACGGCCAGGGCGCCCTTGATGATGCCGAACAACACGTCGGTGCTCACAGACCGCTCGTGCGCCTCATCCAGGATGATCACCTGCACACACACACACACACACACAGAGAGAGAGAGAGAGAGGGAGAGAGATGTTTGTGTGTTAGGATGGATGGATGGATGGATGGCTGGCATGGACTCACCTGGTAGTTGAGGATATGCCGGTCGTGAAGGCACTCCCGCAACAGACACCCGTCCGTGAGAAACCTTATGCGGGTCCGAGGGGACGCCGTGTCGTCAAAGCGAATCGAATATGCCACCTCCCCCCCTGCAGCCGCCAGCCAACCAGCCGCACATCCCATCCACGTGCGCATCTTCCTTCCGTGGTGTGCGTACCGATTTTGCCGCCCCGCTCGTCGGCGACTCGCTTGGCGGTGGCGACGGCAGCAACACGACGCGGCTGCGTGATGGCGATGCGGATGGAATCCTGACACACACACCACACACACACAGACGCATCCATCGGACGCATCGGATGCACCCATCGATCCACCAGCCGTCCATCCCACGTGCGGTGCAATGCGCACCTTGTGTTGCGCCCCGAAGCATGCCGTCCTGAAGTCCTCACTGTCCTGGAGGTACTGGCAGATCTGTGTCGACTTGCCGCTGCCCGTCTCGCCCACCACTATCACCACGGGCGAAGACGTCAGCATGCCCACAATCTGATCACGGTAGGAACACACCGGGAGGCCCTCACGCTGGACGCGCAGCTTCTCCCTCCGGGCTGCTGCGTCTGATTCGGGCGTTGGGGCACTCAGGTCGGGTGGCTTCACGTTGGTGTGGTGGTGGTTGAGCCGCCGTGGCGCGACGCCGTCTGCATCCTCGTCGTCATGCTGCAGTGTCCATGGAACGGGCAGATGGGATGGTGCATGCGCTGATGTGGTGGTGTTCGTGGGTGTGGTGTGGTGACTGACCTGCTCGTTGTGATCTATCGACAGATCCTCGTCCATGGCGATCTGACCGCGACTCGACGCTGTGCCACACACACACGCGCGCGGACAGATAGATAACAAAGGGACAGATCTTGAGAGAACGAACGGATGCTACCCGCTTGACTCGCCTAGGATCTTATATACTTCAACTGGTGAATGGATGACCTCGAATCGCTTAGGCGCTATTCCGCTGCCCTCAAGGGCTCCAAAGCTGCCTCTCTCCCCCCCTCGCGGCTCCCCCCGATCGAATGCGCGCTAAGAAGCGACGGAGGCGAGGGAGGGATCTGCGCGCACACAGCGGCTGCCTTTGGGTGGCGTAGTGCGGTGTCGCCGCCTGTGTATCGGTATCTGCTCCTCTCGGCGCAGCAAGCGCTGCTGGTTGTAGTACGCAGGGTGCTGGTCGGCGCCATGAGCTCCCTCTCGCAGGCCATGGCCTTTATGGACCACAGCTTCGCTGTCTTCTGCAAAGCCACCAATCTCAGATTCGTAAGCCCAGTCAATGCTGGCCTCTGCTTGTCTTGTCTGTGTTGTGTGATTCTGTGTGATTGTGTGTGTGTGGTTTATTGGTGGTGTGTCAGTTCACGCGTGGGTGGGGCGATGTGGAGGGCAGCAACGAGTGCAGGGCTATGTCGAACGATTTGGTGCGGAAGGGCAGTGTGCCTGAGATCGAGGTCGAGTGGCTCAACACTTGGACCACTGACGAACTCACCGTCTGCCACGAGGGACGGTTCCGATCGCCCATAGCGAAATACCTTCCACCAGAGTGAGCAGACCACACCCCACCCACATGACATGCGCTGTGCCGGTCGATGGATGGATGGATGTGCGTGTGTTGTCTGCAGGTCCGAGTACGCGTATTTTCTGTTTGTGCATTCGATAGGTCGGCAAGGTGGGCGGCATCGGACGGACGCCAACCCGGTGGTGGCCTTCAGAGGGGGCGACATGAGAGGACTCGCCTTCCACATACCCGGTGAGTGGGTGGGTCGACCAGAGAGACAGTGGCGGCGGCGGCAGCAGAGCATCGATGGACTCACTGTGTGTCGTGTGTGTGCGTCAGGTACTGGCGACACGACTTATTATTTTCGGCGCAAGTGGCTGGCGGAGCCGCTGCTGCAGCAGCACGGCATCGGCAGCATCATCCTCATGGCGCCATTCTACGGTGTGTCAGACATGCCGGCAGACAGACAGACACACAGACACGCAGCATTTGTCAATCGGCCTGCCCCTCATTCGGTGTGTTGTGTTGTGTTGTGTTGTGTTGTGTTTGTGTGCTGCACTCACTGCAGGCAAGCGGCAGCCGAAGGGTCAGCTCCTCTTCTTCATGAAACACGCAGCGGACATACGGCTCTGGTGTAAGCAGAAGCAATACCCTCGCCCCCTCTCCCTGCCCACGCTCACCCTTTTCGTATAGGTGACGGTGTCGGCAGCGAGTGTTGCGCTTTGATGAGTTTCTTCCGCCGCGAGCTGGACGAGCTGTGCTGTCCCCATGTGGGGCTAGGCGTTACTGGCCTCTCATTGGGTGGCGGGATGGCCGCCGTGGTGGGGGCGATCATCTGCAAGTTCCCCATCGCCTGTGTGCCCTGTTTGGGGGGCGAGAGCATGCGTACAGATTGCAGACACACCGAGACAAACACCAATACGACACAATTCAAAACCCATCATCCGTCTGGTGTTCATCTCATCATTGCAGGCGCGTGGAGCAGCGGAGCGTTGAGAGAGGGCATCGACTGGGCAACTCTCGCGGTGAGTGAGTGAGTGAGAGGGAGAGGCAGCACAGGCAGACAGACGAGTGGTTGGATGCGGTGCGGTGTGTCGCTCTCTCCCTCTCTGTGTGTAGGAGGAGATCGGTTCGGACGAGCAGTCAGCCAAGGACCGTTTGCACGCCTGGCTGGGCGAGGGCAACGTGTCCACCTGCCTGCAGCTCTGCCCACCTTCCCTGGCCAGCCAACGGTGTCTCCACGTGGCGGTCGTCAACGCCAAGAACGACCATTTTGTGCCGCTCGAGTTCGGCAACGACATGATCGCCTCCCTCTCACAGGCAGCCGGGGAGAGGGGGAGCATCACCGTCAGGCTCATTGACGGCGGACATGCTATCGGTGCGTTCGTTCGTTCGAGAACTACTGTGTGGTGTGGCGCGGGGGTGTGGGTGGATGATGATGATGTGTGTTGTTTGTGTTCGGTTATTGCCTGCAGGGTATATACGGCGGTCGTGCTGCCTGGAGGCCATTGTTGACGCCTTCGACCGACTCGCAAAGACGCAGACGGTCGGCACGGCGGGAGGGGAGAAGAGGTCCATTGTGCTGCCGATGAGTGCACTCATCTGTCTGTCTGTCTGTCTGTGCGGTGCAGGTCAGCGGAGACCCAGTGCTTGCAGCCATCGAAGCGATTGCGAAGGACGTCACCCACCCCCACCACCCCCACCATCACCTGCACCCCCACACCCACCACCACACCCTCACCCCGGCCAGCAGCGTCGCCTCACTGCTCGAACTGGAATGCGCCTACGGCGAGATGGATGTCCACGAGGACGGTGCCCGGGACCAGCCACCGAGGCGGCTCGCGTCGGCCACTACCGCTGCAGACACCGACAATGGCGCGCAGAACCACAACCACCAACGGACCTCAGAGGAGCAGCAGGAGTATCAGCAGGCCGGCAGTGGTGAGGCGTCACCGGCCCGGTCGACTCACTCGGTGCAATCGGACCCTGGTGTGGTGTGTGAGGAGACAAACAGAGGGGGCCACACGATTAGAGGGCCGGAGAGGGAGGGGGAGGGGGACCTGGGGCTTGACAAGCTGATCCAGGAGTTTGTGTGTGAGTTGTTTGACAGGGCCGTGCTGCAGTGACTTTTAAGTCACTGCAGGGCCTGGCCTGCAGGGAGAGGTGGGCCTGGGAGGGAGGGAGGGAGGGAACGATGAGTGTGCGTCAGTGCACCACTGCAATGAGTCAGTCAATCAGCGCCGGTCCCGAGTTCCTTTGTCGTTTGTCAGTTTGCTGCACACGTGTGAGCTGTCTGTTGACTCACTCACCACCGACCCCACCCAAGCCCCCACTGCACCCACATGTGTGTGTGCGTGGCAACATGCCTGTGTCCCTCCACCCCATCCCCGTGTACAGGGCAGCCAGCCAATGGCATGTGTTGTGTGCGTGAGTGCCGTGCCATGCCATTTTTCATCCTGACTACTGTGACTGTGTGTCGGGTAAGGTAGGCAAGCCATTGTGTGTGAGTGGGGGAGGGAGGGGAGCGAGGGGACCGCGTCGTGGCTGTTTGTGGATGCAGCCAGGTCCATATGCAGTCAGTGTATAGTTACGTACGTGTGTGCGCACGTCAGCAGACCGACAGAGACATACACACACACTGACTGCAAATGTCCTCCCTGTAAAATGTCACACGTGAAATTGTCGCATTCGTCACTCACACTAGGGTTCGGGTGAGGGGTTCGCAAACCTCGCAGATCTCTTGAGCGTTAGAGAACGAAGAGCGGATGCATTGATGAGTTGAAGCAGCCGCACCGCAATCGGCTCTGTGCAGTGCACAATACCAGCAGGATTCAAGAGTGCTCCCATCGGCTCGGCTGCGATTGTGATGTCATCGATGTGTTCGTTCGCGCCGGTGAGGTGATGCATTAGGTATTACCTCGGCTGACTGACTGACTCAAGGCTGGCGCTTGGGAGAGAGAGGGAGCAGAGAACGTTTGTGCGTGTGAAGGAGGCTCGAGGAGAGATGAGCTACAACAGCTACAACAGCTTTTGCCACGCATGTGCTCTTGCTGCCGTCCTGATAATGCTGCTTGCCAATGGCGCAGCGGCATTCCTGGGGGAAGCAGGTGAGTGACCAGCCACACGCACACACACTCACACACTCACGCCTATCGGTGATCCATGTATGTTTATGTGCAGAGTGGGTGCAGCTCAACGGTGACGGCCCGGTGTGTATGGGCGCCGCTGAGCTGTCAGACAGGGGCCAGTTCAGCATACCCCGCGACCTCAGACGAGTGCAGGCGCTACGATTCACCTACCACAGCGGTCAGCCAACCCCCCCCCCCCCCCCCCCCCAC